TTTGTTTTGCCTATTTTTCCCAGTTTTCCCACTTCAGATTCTGCAGAAGCGTTTGCTTATAGCTGCCTATTAGAACCAGTAACTAAAGCACAGTGGAGCTTATGGAAGACTCTGAGGATGGGGCTCCCTGGTGCTGGGCAGACTTACCACCACGTCCGAGGTCCCGAAGCTGAGCTGATGCCTTCTGTGCTCAGCCCAGCCTGGCTGGGACGTGGGGGGTGGGTTCTGCTGTGTCTACGATGGGGCTCTTGTGTCCTGGGCACAGCCTGGAGGGGCAGGTTGGGGAGGACCCAGAAACATCTGGGTCCTGGCCTAGGTGACCAGATGGCCCCAACCCTAATGAAGGACCCCACCGCCCCCATGAGGCCCTGCCTGGTCTCTGTGGGTGCATTAATATCATCTGGGTGTCCTCAGTGAGTCCCAGTTCCTGGCGGGGCTCGTGTCAGAGGCTCAGCTGCCCAGTGCATGCCAACATGTGGCCCAACATTTGGCCTGTGGGAGTGGTCATGTGATTGGAGCTGGTTCCTGGTAACGGTGATGGCTCCGCAGCCTCCCTGTGGGAGTGGCCCTCACTGTCATCAGAGCTGGTTCCCGGTTATGACAATGGCTCAGCAGCTCCACAGGAGCAGTTTGCAGCTTCCAGCAGACATTCTGCTTTGGTATGGGGGCTGCTACTCTGGTCTCTAGGGCACCACACTACATGGTGAAGGACCACATGGGCCTTGAGCAAGGGGTTCATATTCATAGATCCGGAGGCTGGAAATCTGGGGTCTGGGTGCTGGTAGGGGGTTTGCTTCTGCGTCTGAGGGGGCTTCTGCCCTCCCAGCACCTGCGGTTGCTGGCAGTCTCTGGTGTCCCTTGGTTTGAGGCAAGAGCACTGACCTCCGCTGCACCCACATGTGGTGTTCTCCCCATGCTGGTCTCTGTGTCTGGGTGTCTCATCTCATAGGACATCAGTCTTGTTGCATCAGGGTCCACCCAGAGACCCCACTTTAACTCTGTGCTGTCCCCACTACATCTATCATGAGCTCACCCCAAAGCACATATGACGATGGACAGTGAGGGCCTACACGCTCCTGCCCTCCCTCTGTGCGGACACCCCCAAGGCGATTTATTAATTAGGCTCCAACCTTGACTGATACTTTTTTACTGAGTTCTTGGCCTGAAGTAAACTAGCTCAGTCTGGAGAGGACAGTTGTACCTGGATTCCGTGAGTCAGTCCCAGGCACGAGCCTTCCCAGAGCAGGAGCCTCCTCCACAGCCAACCCTGGAGCAAGGCCGGGTTCGCGGCGTGCCCACCGTGTTCTGTTCAGATTTGCTGGTTAGTGTCACCTCAGCCCGACTGGATATTTGACAAGGATATCTGTTCTCACTGCTCCCTCCCCCAGTGTGCCAGCAGTTCCAGTCAGGTAAAAAAGGCAAGAAAAATAAGGCACCAAGTTCAGAGAGGATGAAGGAGCTACGAATTCCGAGGTGACACAGTTGTGTGCCTCAGAACTTCAGATGAATGCACAGTCACGTCGCTGACAGTAGCAGGTCAGTAGCTGGGGTCCTGGCAAGAAACGATTAGAAAATTTTAAAATGTACCATTGACAATAGAGTCCAGAACAGGAATATCTAGGATACACTTTACAGATGATCCGTGAGGTCCCCATGCTGAAATCAGAGAAGTTGGAGAAGACCTAAGTGGAGAACTGTGCCATGTTCCTGGAGTGGGAGCCCAGTGCCAGGGAGAGCTGGTGCTGTGCAGGTGGGAAGGCAAATGTGGTGCTGTCCCAGCCAGAGTCCCGGCAGGTTCTTCACTGAGACTGACGCACCAATTCCAGAAATGGATATGAAAGGCAGAGTACTTCCAACAGCCAGGACAATCTAGAGGGAAACTGGAGTGTTCAGCGCTCCTACATGTAAGAGCCCCATCATAGACACAGCAGAACCCACCCCCCTGTCCCAGCCAGGATGTATTGTGGAGGGGACAGCGGGCGTGAAGAGCGGCACAGTCAGTGGCACAAAACAGTCCACATGTTGTGGTCACCGGGTGTTTGACAAAGGCCCAGTGCAGTTATCGGGAGAGAGGAAGGCTGCCCCGTGGAGGGACTTCACATCACGGCAAACATGAACTAGAGGGAGATCGTGGGCCTGGAAATGCTAGACTACGGAACACCCGGCAAACATAACAGAGAAGAGAAGAGCTGCATGACCTGGAGAGGCAAAGACGTCCAAGGACACAGCAGAAGGGCACGGAAGGCCCAGGTCCTGAAGACAGACCTGGTGGAATGGGTTTCAGAGCGGCAGGCTTCTGCTCATGCTGCTCACCTGTGCTGGGCGTGGCCCGTGGTTGAGCCTTCACGTTTCAGCTGTCACACACTGTACTTTGTGGTGTAGGGAGAATTCCTCAGGAGATTCTCTTCAGACTGCCTCTGCCTTATTTTTTTAATGCCACTTGGGCCTTTTATTTATTTATTTATTTAGACAGTCTTGCTCTTTGCCCCAGGCTAGAGTGCTGTAGCCTCAGTCTAGCTCACAGGAATCTCAAACTCCTGAGCTCAAGTGATCCTCCTGCCTCAGCCTCCAGAGTGCTAGGATTCCAGATGTGAGCCACCAAGGCTATAGACTGCCTTATTTTTGACATTTTGTTTCTATAACATATGATTCAAATTTAGTGGAAAACACAGTTGGGAAAAAATAGTAGTGTCTATTTGATTCTTACTGTATAAAATATGTTCTTAGCTATTAATCTGTTTTATTTCTTTTTACTCTTTATTGATACATAATAAACTTTTTTTGATATATGTGATTCATATGTATAAAGATTAGGGCAGGGTATTTGGCATATCCATCACCTTAATATTTGTCTTTATGTTAGAAACATCTGAATTATTCCCTTTTAGCTATTTTGATACGTGCAGTAGGTTATTGTAAATTACAGCACCGTCACCCTGCTGATCTACGGAGCACTGGCCCCAGTTCCCTGTGTATTTGCCCCCAGTAATCAACCTCTCTCGCTTCCCCAACGCCCCTGACCTTCCCAGCTTCTGGGAATACAGTCTCCTCTGTATCTTTATGGATTTTTTTTTTAGATGATTATTTTGCTGTGTTACTGAGAAAAATGAAATGTAGATTTCTCTTTAGAATGTAAGAAAAAAGATATCCTTATGAGAGTAAAAAGGTAAGCCATGGCTTTGGAGAAATGTTTGCAATATTTCTGTCTGACAAAGAAATAAAGAATTCCACAACTCAGTAATAAAAAAAACGGAAAATGCGCAAGTCCCTGGAACAGGGTCTGGATAAAAGGTGCACCAACGGCCACTGCGCACAGAAGATGGTGTGGGGGGTACTGGGCAAGCTGAGCGCTGCCGATCAAGCGCAGGAAGATTCTACTACACACGCCCTGACTGTGCATGGTGGCAGGTGGGGGACAGCTGCATGGGGCATCACTGGTCAGTGTGTGACCGGCGCAGCCACTTTGGAACACCGTTGTGCTGTTTCTAATAAAGTTAAACATAAATCTACCACGTGGCTCAGCATTTCCACTCTTGAATGCCTTCTGAATGCACCGGAATGTTCACAGTGGCTTTATTCAGTGGCGCATTTGGGCTGTTTGCATTTTACCCATCAGTGACTTGAGGAGCAGCCACCTGCTGACCGGCCCTGCAGTGACTGTTCACAGCAGGTTTTTTGTGAAAGCTAAAAACTAGAAAAAAGCGAACGTCCGCTCCAAGTGAATGGATGACAAATTTTGTACCCACGCAATTAACTAGCAACAGGAGGGTGGTCTCCAGGTGTGTCAGATACTGAGGGCCGCGGGGAGAGACCTGCCCTGGGCGCCGGAAGCTCTGGGCGATGGAAGTTCAGTATCCGACCGTGGAGATGGTTTCACAGGTGTGCAAAATGTCAAAACTCTTCAGATCGCAGATTGTAAATATGTGCAGTTTACCATAGTCAGATACATCTCAATAAAGTTGCAAAAATAAATGAATAAAAATTTTAAAAGTTATGTCCCAGAGTGAAGATAGGAACCTGGGAGAGGGAGTGCGGGGTCCGGGGCCGACCCGCCGCCTGCTGATGCTGGAAGGGGCAGGAGGCCCGCTGGGCGGGGAGTCCGAACCCAGCGGACGGACCTTTCCATTTCTCTGTAGTGGGCTGGTGGCGGTGCGGGGTCGGAGAGACACGATTCTGTTTTCCCCAACAAGCTCTGCTCAGCCGCGCTCGGCCCCGCTCTCCTAGGTTCTGGAAGAGCAGGAAGCCGGCAAGGAAGTAATTCGGTAGTTTATTCCAGACCCCGCAGATGTGGGCGGGGCGGGGCGGGATCGAGGGACGAGTGGAGGCGGACCGCAGGGGCCTAGGGGCGGGGCGGAGCCGTGGGGGCGGGAGGAGGCGGGACCTGATGGCCTCGTGTGGGGGCGGGACCGGGGATGGGGCGGGGCTTAGGGGCGGGCAGAGGCGGGGCCGAGGTACGGCCTACGCACACCCCAGGGCCGTGTGGGAGGAGCAAGGATGGTGGAGGGGCGCGGTGGGGCAACCCGAGGGGCGGGACCGAGGATCGTGTGGGCGGGACGGGTGGAAGAGCGGGGCTGAATGGGGTTGGGCGGGGCCGAGAAACGGCCCTAGACGGAAGCTCAGGACTGCGTGGGCGGGGCGGTGGAGGGGCGGGGCCACGGCGGGACCGAAGGGCGTGTGGGCGGGGCGGGACCGAGAGGCGGGGCTGAGTGTAGAAACAGCCTCTAGGCGGCAGGGCCGCGTGGGCGGGGCCGAGGGGGGCGCCGGGCGCCCCCTGACAGTGTGGGTGGCGGCGTCGGGAGGGGCTGCCTTGGCTGTGCCTGGTGCAGGAAGAAGCCGAAGATCGGGTGGTTTGGGGAAGGAGCACCCTTGAGTGGGGAGTTGAACACCTGGGCACCGGGTGCTGGACGCGCGAGAGGGGCGGTCGCTGGGCTGGCCCAGAGAGGATGAAGGGCAGCCGCGGGCGGGGGCGTGGGCGCGGGCGCAGCCATTCCACCTCCCCG